GTTATGGATTATTCAACGTTGACTGTTAACGAACAGAATCCAAAGTTATCCGTGACTGGTCACGATGTTGTTCCAATAAGTGACTCAAAATTTCTGATATTGTTCGGTACAGAAACAGAAACTCCTTTAAAGTTTACGGATCCCGTTCAGCAAGTTGACATACAAACAGGTGTTGTAGATACTCTTAATATAAGTGGCTCGGTTTCGACTCGGTATGCTCACACTGCTACTGTGGTCGATAATAAGGTCTATGTGTTAGGCGGTATAAGTAACAGTAATATTCTTGGTGATGTTATGTATTTGGATCTTTCATCTTATAGTTGGAATACTATTAATAATACATCTCAAATCGCTGGACATTCAACTTTGGCGATTGGAAAATATTTAATATCTTGTTTCGGCTTTGATTCGAACCTTAATCTTAGAAATGATTGTAATGTTTTTGATACTTCAACTAATGTTTACGTACCATCTAATATTTCTGGAACGATACCAGCACCTCGTTCTTATTCATCTATGGTTTCTGCTGATGATAATGATAAAATTATTTATGTTTTTGGTGGATTTGACAAAGATTCTCATGGATATAATGACCTTTATATTTTAGATGCATCGAATACTCCTGATTTATCTTGGTCTTCTGTGTCTATTAGTGCAAAAGTAGATAAATCTTTAATACCATCACCTCGAGGCGCTCATAGCGCGTTTGTAAAATCAGGTTTAATGACGATTTGGGGTGGTTATTCTAATACAACCAATATAACCATAGCTGATGGGAACTTATATTTCTTTGACATTAAAGCTAATATGTGGGTCAATTCTCAAAGTTTAAATGATAGTTCAATGACTTCGCAATCTAATGAAAAAAGATCTAATGCTTTAATATGGGATATTATTATTGGAGTCGCTTGTATTATTATTTTAATAATATTTCTCTTAGGTTTTTTCATGATACGTCGTCGTAGGCTAAAAAAGAATCTTCAAGATAAATGTGAAACTTATGATGATCCCTACTTTCGTCCTGGAGGTCAACTTGGAAGTGAATCTGATCTTCTCTCAAATGCTGGAACTTTACAAAAACCATCTCCACCTACACCTTCGTTTATACGACCACGATCAAAATATGAAAATGATTCAATATCATTAGAACGGCGTAATTCTACCAGTTCCGTTGTTTCAACAAGTATGTCAATGTCTTCGGACTCTCTTAAAAAGACCAATCCATTAACTTTTCCGGTCACTCACATCACGGAACCACAACGTATGAAACGATCTCATAGACGCACTTCTTCAGTGACATTAAGTACTGTCGATGTAGAAAATATTACCCATCAAACACATCAAAGGCTCATTAATAATAATTTCCGTTGTTCATCACAATCATATAGTTTACGTCGATCAGTATTATCCAACACCATTGAGTCATATTCATTAATAGATAATAACCATGATATAAGTCGTGGTTCAAGCGTTAAATCAGTTAATTCCCTTAAATGGGTCGGATTTAACGATTCAATTACTGATGTTCAAAATGGAAGAAAATTGTCTTTACATGTACGAAATGATTTTAATCAGAAGAGCAAGAATATTCGTGAATCAGATTTACAAGATGAATATATAATTCATGGTGATTATATTGATACCACAAATAAAAGTAGTGCAGGTCAATATCATAATGGAAGAAATAGTGTATCTGTTATTCCAAAACAGGAGGGCATCTCTGAAGAAGAAGAATTTTCCGAGAGATATGATTCCAATACAGCATACATGATCCAAAATGGAAATTATGAAAGCAGTTCCGAGCGTACTTCTAAAGAAAGTGAATCAATTGACAAGTTCAGTTATCATTCAATCTCTTCTCAAAGTTCAATATATTCATGTGACTCCGAAGATAAAAGAAAAGTCAGAAAATCAAAGCGGTCATCTAAAAGAACCAGTAAAGTGTCATTTGCTCCAACTGACGAAAAAATTGAGTTTGATGAATCAGAATCATCAAAAAGTGTTTATTTAGCCCGTATGTCTGCGCGATCGAGTCAAAGTAGCACGTCAAGCAATTAATTATCAATTATCGTTCGTAAATCCTTCCGCAAAAATTTTATAACTAAAAAAAAAAATCCTTTACAAAGAAAAAACAACTTGTAATATTTCCTTTTTTTTGATTTGTTTCCTTTTTTTTTTTTTTGTTATTACAGAATTGTATTCACCCTTACTCCATCTTCTTTTTTTTTTTGTATTCTTTTTATTTGTCACTCTTTTCTCGTTTTTAACTGGATCCAATTCCATTTAACAACTTTCGTACATATTCTAATTGGAGCCGTGTAGATAATAAATATTTTCAAATCAAATTCCAATTTATCATCATTTCCGACTCCTCTTGTTTTCATTATTCGCCAATTTTTCTTATTATAAAATTTGTTTCTCGAAATTTTCTTTCATAACAATTATTGAGGTTCCTTGACTTTAAGACATTTTTTTTTTTTTCATGATTTATTTGATCAAAATTATAACCTAGCAGAGACCTTTTAACACAATATTTTTTGTTCGTGATACATTTCTTTTATAATAGATATTGTATCAACAGAAAGGTTTTTCCTTTGGTTTACTCCTTCAGAATATTTCTTATTTCCAATTGATCATGGAAATGAGAATTTACACAAATCAATAAGGTTATCGATTTGCGTATAACAAAAATCGGGAACTTGAAAGAAAAAAAAAAAAATCTTGTTTATATATTTGTATCTTTATTTTTTTTAAAAAAATAAAAATAAAATAAAAAATAAAATCAAAATTTTTAATCTCGTGTGAAATTTTTATTAAGTATATTATATATTTGTCTTTAAGACCTACGAAAAATTATCGCATTTTTGTTTATTAGTTTATCAAGTCAAGTATATATTTCCAATCGCAAATATTTCGTATTACTAACATGTTTAATAAATAGAAATCTATATTTATTATGATATATTCTAATGTTTAATGATTGAATTTTTTTCCAAAAGCATTTCAACTAAATCCGACGGTACATTCGCAGACGTCCCACCTAGTCGTTCAATCACTAATTTTGGACGTGTCCGATGAACATGATCATAAACGCACTGATAATTAGGTTTTACATCATCAAATCCGGAAGGTCTACCAAATTTTTCATCCCAAGCTTGAACTAGACGCAAACAAAATTCACTACCGCATGTTCTGCTTAATTTCTTTCTACACTCTTGACATTGTATAAATAATAAATTGCAAGTTTTATTTCTACAATTCGTGTGAGTATCACATGGTTCACCACAAGTATGGCATTGAGAAACTACATCGTTGGTGATCGGTTCTCCAAGACGTTTATCAAATGTAAAGTTACGACCTTTGTATAATGAAGTAATTGATGGATTTGAAGTAATGTAACGACCATATGCCGTAATTCCGCCCTTTAAAACATAGACAGACTTAAATCCATTTGAGAGGAGTATTGCTCCAGCCTTTGAACATCGAATGCCACCTAGGAGTCAGACGTTAAATTTTCAGTATATATCTCCGTACTTGGTTTGTATTCGACGAACGAGAGATTTTGTGAGAATAATGACCATATTTACCAGTACAATACATATAAATATCTTCATTTTGTTTTCCTTCAAGTATCTTATTCACAGAAATTATACTGTCGCGAAAAGTATCCACATCTTGACGAATAGAATTTTCAAAATAACCAATTTCACTACAAAGAGATATTGTTTATTAAAGTGTTAGGCATAAATTTATACTATACATATTTTACCTTTCATAGTGATTCCTCATATCAATTAGAATAATTGGTGTATTAGCATTAGACAACGCGGTATGCCATTCAGCAGGAGAAAGATGCTTCGGTTGATTAGACAAATCGTAAGATCCTTTTTCTAAACCATCAGTAACAATCTAAAAATTTGTCAATCGTCTCTATACGATCCAACCGAAAAAAAAAACATAGATATGATATTGCACAAACCTGATTTCTGATTTTAACATTTAATTTTCGAAAAGCTTTCACGTGATTTGTTGAAAAGTTAAATTCTACATCCTCTAGCTTCAATTCTTGATTGCAAAATTTTCTCAAGTTATCCAATTGTTCAACTGGACATGATAATTGAGCATTGATACCTTCAGTCGCGATATATATCCTACCAACTATCCCCATTTCACCAAACTTGGATAAAAGTAATTCACGTGTTTTTGGTAGATATGAATCGGGAATTACATGAAATGAGTAGAATGATAAAGTTTTCCAATCGATAACAGGAACATTTTTTGACTGTGAATTTTGCTCATGGGCATTGGTACAATAATGGTAACGTTGGCCTAATAAACTGAGAAAATTTTCAGTTGAAATATAACCAATTCTTATATGACGCGTTTCTAGTCGTCTGCAAAATACTTTTGAGAAGTGTAAAAATGGGTTATTTTGCGTTATCGCACTTTGGGAACGTAAAATCGCTGGATTAAAATTATGTGAAAAAGAACGAACTAACGCTCTAAATAAAGTTTGAAAACTTTGCATAACGCTTGCGAAAAAAATAATATATCGGATCAGCGTTATATCTGTATAAAGATACGCAGCATTGGGATAATCAATGGAGATGTAAACCAACCCGAATGGGAAAGGTTTGAGTCGGCTCCAAACCTAATTTGAAAACCGCATATTTCAAACCTCAACGACCGCATTATAACCGTGATGCGTACTATTAAACGCGACAAGTATTAAAGAAATCAAACATAAAATTTTGATAACAAGAATACCTCATTCAATAGGTATCTTGCACAGTGATTCTAAAAATCTTGATAATTAACCATTAAAAACTATCTTTACACTAATGTTCCAAATCAAAATCGATTAGTTGATCAGGTTTATCGATTGATACAGTGCGCGACACTTAAAGACTACACAAACTTTAAAAGCTAATAACTTTTGATCTAAAAAAGATATTTTAAAAAGGAGGCCCCTATTTTGTAGCTAAATCAATTTACTACAATTTAACGGCTTTATTTTTAAAAATGCTATAATAGCTTTTTAAAATATATAGCTTTTAAAATGTTGCATTTTTATATGATCATATATAAAAAAAGTTAAAAATGGAATATACTAAAACAAATATTTAATCAAATAAGTTTAAATTTATATAATAAATTTTTTTAAAAAAAATTAACCAGTCAAAATTCAAGAAATTTTGTCAATCAAAATCAAGCAACTTTAAAAACATCAAAAACCAATGTTTTAAAATAAATTAAAAGTTTTAATTTTTAAAATTTTAAATTAGAACAAATGTGTCTTTAAGTGTCGTGCACTGTAAAAAAGATATTTTTTAAGAGTGAGCATATTTAGAACTAAAATCTTTTATTTAATAAAGAAAAAACTTTATATATATTTTTGTTGAATAAGATAGATAAGTTATTAGATAAAAAGAATAATAACAATATTTTAGAAAAACAATTCTATAATCTTTGAACAGATTATAAAGAAACTATAGAGATACTTGTGTTGAACTTAGATAAAATTAATTATAATATAGATAACAATATTTAAACTAGTCAGATTAAAGATACACTATTTACAACTGCTAAAGTTTTAAAAGTAATTATTAATATTTTTGTTGATACTAGTTTAAAAGAATGTGTAGTAGCTAAACATTTTTTTAATAAAATTAATTAAACAATTGATGAACCAAGTAATATTAAAGTTGTTAATATAATAAATAATAAAATAACTCTATTAGGTTAAATTAAGGGTAGAGTATCTGTAGATCATTTTTTATATGATATGTATAGCAGATCAAGATTTTATATAGACAATGAAAATTAGCCACTGATAAAAATTTTTATAAACATAGTTAATCACTACCAAATTTTTGTAGAACATAAATTGTAACTTCTATTTATAGTAGTAAAATTTCAAAGACTATATTATTTTAAAAAAAATATACTTCCTTATATCGTTAAATTTGCTGGGGAACCTCAAATTTGCCAAGGTTACACAAAAAATAAATAGTAAAAATATTTCTAAATCAGGTAATTACCCAATTAGATTTGTACTTACTATGTAATTTGTTATACAAAAAAATTACCATATATATTATATGAAAAATGATCTACATATTCTCTACCTTTAATCTATATAGTATTATTGTATAAACTACGTAATTTAATTAATTGCATGTAAAACATAAAGTTATATTTTAAATATTTATATCTAAAATTTACCTATACAAATATATCTAAGTATCTATAGTATTTCCAATTTACTCTCGACCTAATTCTATTAGAAGTAATTACAAGATTAGCCCAATTTTAGGTTCTTGTATACCCATTCACAATTACCTTTTTACAATTGCCAAGGCTCCCATTTGCAGTTGTAACTGAGCTGTTAAGTCTGTCATTTGACATCTTAGGTCTCTAATCTTGCAGTGTAGAATTCTATTAAATCCATAGTTCTTTAACATTTGCTTATTGTTCTATTAAACTGCTTTTGCCCTTGTGAAAGTTTGCTATTCTTGGACCTGATACCTACTTTATATTTCTCTTTACAAACTGAGTTTTGGTTTCACCAAACTTCTAAACTAGTTGGCCTGGTAGGGTTGGTCTGCTCAGACTTTAAGTGCCTTATGATCTCTCTTCCCTTAGTACATGCTTCCAGAGTATATATTCTTTTTTGGTGCGACTCTGGTAGCCAGGTTGGTAGAACCCTTAATCTATAAGGGTCTTGTCATCCAGATCCCCAAACTTTCAGTTGGTCTGATTCTGTTCTGTAGCATCATTGTATCCTCACTACTTCCTAAACTTGGGTCTTGCCAAGCCAGTTTTGGTTCTTCTAATTCTCTTTTGGTTTTATTTTAGTTTCAGAGACTTATCCTGGGTTTGTATTGCCTAGACTGGTTTGCATTTCTTCATGTAACATGAAAGCTCTAAAACTTTCCAGTATCTTGACGAAAATGGTATAACCAGAGTTACAGGTAATTAACCCAACTAATCAATAAAGATCCATTACCATAATACAAAGAATTTTATTTGAAATATTACTAGTGAGATTCAAACTCTGTACCATTAATTAATATAGCTTGGGGATGTAACAACTCTACCACTCTGCTATGTCTCCACACCTTATAGATATTTAATTTTATTATTAATTGATAATCCGCCAGTCAACAGAAGAATAAACATAGTATAACGTGATGCAAATCACCATGTAAATCCAATATAGTGTGAATCTGAAAAATTTTTACTGTTCGTCCAAAGAAAACATTTTTTCGTACTAAGTTAATCGATTTTGTAAATTAATTAAAAGTTG